AACCCCGCTCCGAAGTATTTTAAGTTGACAGCCGCTAATCTCGAGAGGTTCCTTCGCTTGGACAGGGATGGAGCATGAAAACACTTTGGTCTTCCTAGCGTTTCTGGACAAACCGACTAATTGCGCGATCTTGTTCACACGTGACACAATAGACTGTAAATCGCGAAAGCCTGAAGCTAATAAAGCAATATCATCGGCATAGTCAAGAACAGTCAATCGGAGCAGTAGTATGCCTTGATCATGGTTATTATTTTAGTGGTATATCATATAATGCGATTATTCGCCATAGGGAGTCAGGATGGACGGAGTCGAACGCAGCGGCAAAGTAAAAAAGCAGACAGCAGAATTCAAGGATCCGTCTCAGTGTGAATATCTGATCCACACATACACGCCCAGCGCGAAATCCGGCTTGGTTGGGTCGCGTCCCAGAGTCGCGCACAGACTAGAATCACCTGAAGGTAACAATAGCATTAGCAATAGTGAAGATCTTCAGAGCAACGCCGATGAGGCTAATGCCATGGTAGTTCTCACATCTTGTCTTACCTCCAGTCCTGTGGACAGGCACAAGGATGCCTGAGCCCCAATCAAAAGGAACGGTCTCGTCTCTCCATGCTTGTTCATTCACCTCATGGAGCCAAGACACCAGAGTGTCGGCACAAGACTTGTAGATTTCGGCGGGTATGCCGTCCTCTCTAGGTGCCTTATTGTTGTGCAGCCTTTTTATCGCATCAGCAATTTATCCTTCAGAAGGTGAGTCGCATGGCAATGGACAAGTGAGGGAGGGAGGAGGCCCTGTTGTAGATGGGAGCAAGGGGCCCTGGGCTCCGTATCGAAGTTGAGGAGGTGCTCGAAGTGCTAACGCCAGCGCTCGACCTTGGTCGCGTTGTCAGCAGGAAAGCCGCCATTCATATCACGAACCGAGTCATTAATGCAAACAGCTTACTACTAGTCTGGCGAATAAGTTGGTAGAGCTTTCGAGTATCACCAACGTTCGAGGCCTCCTCCGTGGAGGTTGCTATTTCAGCCCAGTATTTCTTCCGGTCTTCTCTGGCCGATTTTGCTGTCATCTTTCTTAGATGGCGGAAAGAATAATCATTACGGCCCCTAGCTCGGGCTATCTCAGTAGACAACTGCAGGGTTCGTCCGCTGATCCAATCGTTGTGGCGTCGCTAGGTGAATCCAAGAATTTTCTCGGCTGCTCCATCGACTGATGTTTTCAGTGAGGACCATGGGCTACTCTCTTTTCTGTCGGCTCGGGTCGTGAAACAGGACCGGATTTCTCTGCTCAGAGCCTCAGCAGTGTTGGGTTACCGAATCTTGGTGACACTGAGGCGTCTAGCGCGTGGCATTTCGGGCGCAGATAAGAGGTGAGGTTTCAAGCGTGTGCGAACATGAACTTGGTCAGACCCATGGACATTACCAGGCTCAGCACCGCGTAGCGACCTAAAATCATGAATCCAGCTGCAGAATCTTGAGTTGACTAAAATGCAGTCAATCTGACAGGTCTTTGGAGTACCGGTTTAGCAGGTATTTGCTGCGGTGCTGGAAGCAAGTTTTCGTAAGAAATACTCGGTTCCGTTCGGCGAAGTTCAGTTATATTTCACAATTCTGACATCGAGAACCAAGCACAAAACGGCCGTTTGTGGAGCCACCAAGGCCGTTCCGGCCATTCCAGTCCCCGGCATCAAACAGCAGATTGCTGTGAGAGAGCCTTTCAACCAAAGTTTGTATCCGCTAGAAAAATATCTCCTTATCACGCTGGTCAGTTGGTTGGTTGGTAGCCCTTGTTGGATCAGGGATCCCCGCCGGAGTCCAAACTAGGTTCAGTTGGGAGACGTAGAAAAGCCGCGACCTCAGCCGGCTTGAGCCAAAGGTC